GTAATAAGCATCTAGTACCATAAAAATATTTATACGCTTTGATCTAATAATTCTTCTCCTGTGAATCCCTCCACAGAAAACTATCTAAAATGGAAGAAAAAAAAAACTTAAGCTCAAGTATTTTATATACAAGACTATTTCCTATTTAAAAGGAGGGAATAACTCTCACATACTCAATTCCTAGTCAAATGCCTCTTCTTATCCCTTTTACTGTTTGCTTAAGGTGGCAGTAGTCCAGTCCCAGGAGTAAATCATGGCGATGATTAGATGAAGAATGGGCATGAGCTCCTGGTCTGGTCAAGGAGATGTGAGAGAAAGCCTCCATAGAGAAATTCCCAGAGTAGAATTACTAAATCAAAGGGTATAAATATTTTTAAGACCCTCAATACTTGGCAAAGTTTTTCTCTCTCCCCTAAAAAAGTACACTTTTTAAAACTTTGGTTTCTACATCTCTCCCCACCTGTGACTTCTGCTTAAGATTCACCTGTGGGGAGACACAGAGTTCAAAACTGTGACAGCAATCTCAAAACTATTATGAAAAGTCCTAATGAATCACAATCTATCACCTTGATCAACCCTGGGCCCATCTATTTTCAGACTGCATTTCAAAAGCATTCTCACTGAAATACCTCTGTGTAACAGAACATTATCGTTTTCAAAATGATGCTCGTAAAGTTTTTTGACATGATGGTGAGGGGAGCAGAATTTGCCACCCCAAATTATGCCTTTGGAGATACTGATTATTTTCAGCTGGCTATTTTCAAGAAATGAAAGACTCGGGGAGAACCTTTGACCTTCCTCCTAACTGCCTTAAAGTATTTAGACAGAGGACCTGCTTCAGGAAGGGAGCTATCATCATAGGTAAGTATAGCGTATGTCATATGAAACACTGGGTGGTAGACAGGAGGAAATGAGCAAAGCCCATTTGATCCAACTGCTCTCTCTGCCCCATTGTTAAAGGGGGCCTAGCAAACATTGGTTTACCAAACATTTGCTTCTCCATTTGCATGTAAAGTACCTTTCTTGCCTTTGAAGTCCCAAATCCCAATCCTTGCCACCTCCTCCCTAGTTTAAAATGGCATATAAACCTGAACTGCTCAGTTTGTCCTTGGATCCACTTTCTTACGGAACTGCCACATGTACCTATGTAATAAATTTGCTTACTTTCTAATGCTAATCTGTCTCATGTCAATTTAATTATTAGAATTTAGAAAGGCAGAAAGAAAATTATTTTTCCTCCTCCACAATGGGGGAGAGCTTATGATATGACACTAAATAAAAGAATAGCAGGTTACAAATCTGAACTTAGAATACAGATTCAGTCATGTACAAAAATGCATAGAAAAAACTGGAAACAAATAATCAAAATGTTTAGAATATTTGCCTCTAGATGGTGGGATGAAAGCCACTCATCTCTCTGTTTCTTTGTGTTTTTTCTATGTTTTCTAAATTTTATACAATCGGTATACATTGTTTTTTATTATCAGAAGGCAAAAAAAAAACAGAAAAGACTCCAGTGAGTTTGGAGAATTAGACTGAGAAATTATGTACCAACTCAAAAATACTCAAGGTAAATATGGCCAAGCATAATTTTCTAGTCTAAGGGCCATGAATTTTGATCACCTCCAAGGCTCTCACTTATCTTTGTAGCCAGAGAAAAATGTTGAATCTTTGATAACTAGATTATCTTATCTTACCAGTAACAGAACAATCACAGCATTTACTTTAAAAAGAATAAAACTGATTTTATTTTTACAAAAGTAACTCTTGCTCACTGTTTAAAAATAAGTCTTCTAGCAAAAAATCTTCTAGAAGTAAAAGCTCCCCACCACAGTACTCCTTGACAGTAACCACTGTTAACAAACAGATCAGTATGTATTTTCCCAAACATTTTGCTAGGGAATATATAAACTTTTTTAAAGATTTCATTTATTTATTTATTTTTAGAGAGAGGGGAAAGGAAGGAGAAAGAGAGGGAGAGAAACATCGAAGTGAGAAAGAAAAAAAAAATCAAGGAGTTGCATCTTCTACGCTCCCTGACCAGGGACCAAACGCACAACCCAGACATGGGCTGTGACTGGGAATTGAACTGGTGGCCTTTTGCTTTGCAGAATGATGCCCAATCAATTAAGCCACACTGATCAGGGCAGATTATCTCATTCTTTGTAATGGCAGTATAATGTTCTATTGAATGGGAGTACCAAATTTATTAAATGAACATTATGATTGTTTAGGATTTTTCTCCATTACTGAGGTTTGAAGGGACTATCAATAGTATTGTTTGTTTTCCTGTTGGATTTCAGAGTTTCTTAAACATAAAGACACACAAATCAGACATAAAAATCCAATATCACTTTCATTACTGATTAAGCAGATTCTGGAGAACAGGTATGAGTCCAATGAATTTGACGACCACTGCCAGGATCCCCACCACCACCAGAATTTAACTTCAACCCCCAAACTGCACATGTTGCCTCACAGGACCAGAGCTCACTCTCTGACGAAGGGCAGGGGCAACTACAACCTCACTGAACGCAGGAAGATTCAAGCCCCTTGCTAACACACCTCAGGGTGAGTGAACACATGGAGTTGCTGGGAGAATGGCAGGCTGGGGGACAGCATGGAACTCTGTGCCCCTTCCGTTATGCCTCGCCCTACGCATACCCTCTGTCTGGCTGTTCCTGAATTACACCCTTTTATAATAAACCAATAATTTAGTAAATGTTTTCCTGAGTCTTGCACCCTAACTCGCAGTACCTCACCATGTGACCTTATGTGGAAGTAGGGTTCTTGCAGGTATATTGGAATTGGGTGGGTCTCTTACCGAACATGGCTGGTGTCCGTATTATGAGAAGACAGCCATGTGAAGACAGACCTAACGCTAGAATGCCATGTGAAGACGAAGGCAGAGGTTGGAGTTTTGATGCCACAAGCCAAGGAACACCTAGCATAGATGGCCACCACCAGAAGCTAGAAGCGGCGAGGAAGTGCTCCTCCCCATTGGCTTTAGAAAGAGCATGACCCTGTGAGCACCTTAATTTCGGACTTCAAGCCTCCTGAACGAGAAAGTAAATTTCTGTCGTGTAAAGCTGCTCTGTTTGTGGAACTTCGTTTCGGTGGCCCTAAGAAACTAATGCAATACCTATAAACGACCTTTCTCTGCCCATTGTCCAGCATGGTTGGAAGATATTAGAGTCAATCATCAAATCTCATCCTTTAACACCAACACAGCCGCATATTCATATAAGATGGTTAGGGAGCACTTCGTGGCAATGACGATGGTGATTTACTTTTATATTGTTGTTTCCAATACACAAAAGAGGAGTCTGTGCTGAATACACCAGAAATCTTTCCAATTAATGCTAATGGGTGACCAGCCTCTAGTTGACTCCATGGGAAATGAGGCCACTAAGAGGAAGTTATCAGCAAGGGATTTATGTTTTAGTAGCATGTTTAATTATGATACAACCATGACTGTCTCTTGCAGAGGAATTTAGCATACAAGATTTACAGCTCTTAGCACAATTTTTGCCTTTGTTGTCTCAAAGACCCTTGTATCTGATGTTTTATTAGCTATCAACCTCTGTTAGATTGTGTCACATTGCCCCCTAGTGTTCTGGCTTTGTAATCTCCTCATGGCTGCTCCTGTTTAGCGTTAGGTTCCGGAATGTTTTTTGCTAGAGTCTGTAAACCTGTCCACTCATGCCTTAAAGGACACTGAGAACAGTGAAAAAGTAGAAAGTGGAAGGGTTTTGTTTATTTTAAGAAAGCCACTGAACAACTACAAATATATGTACTTATACATATATACATGCGTGTGCTGGCGCATGCGTGTGTCTCAAAACACATCACCTGACTGGCTTAAGCTTGCAAAAGAAATTAAGTTTCCAGAATAAGAGCGGATCAGACTGTTTTCTTTCTTATTTCTCGAGGGCAGGCAACATCTTCAAGAGATATCCTTTCTTTTCATGATATGACAACAGGGAAATTTTTTAAGCAAAGCTGATGACATTTTAACTAATCCAACCAGCCAGAGGAAAGCAATATTACAAAAGAAGCCTCAAATGAAAGGTGGGACTTCTTTTCCTCTTCAAAGGTGTGGATGCGCAACGCCGTGCGAAGCCGGCCAGCACTGCAGACGCCCACTCCGGCTGCACTGTGCCCGCCAAATCCAGCCTCCTCCCTGCTGTCCCCACTCTGCTTGTCTACCGCTCTGCCTGTGGATGGTGACAGCCATCAGCTGGGAAGACAGTGACAGAGGGTCAGGGAAAGGGTGCAGGAATACATTAGTACGGAAAGAGCAGGGACCCTGGAAATGCGTTCAGGCTTTATAACACCAATCTATTCTCAAAGTATTCAGGGGACCCAAAATTATCCGAAGGGAAGAAATAATCATACAGAACACACTTCCCTAACTCTGTGCTGGTGGTTTAAAAATAAACTGGCCTCCCTGCAGGACAGCTTCCATAATTCCAGATCTTTCTTTTCTCTTCCCCAAGCTGCACCATTTCGGTTGTGCCCAGCCCACGCTGCCCCCCCTCCAGGCCTCCCTGTGGATAACTAGCTAATCTGATCCTCTGACCTACGCTTCCGTGTGACCGCATGCAGCCTCCTTCCCTAGGTCTGCGGCATCCTGGTATGCACAGTAGTCCTATTACCAGCTCTCAGGAGAATTTGGTTTCCTGTGACCCTTGTCACTGCTGGGACTTTGTTCAGACCCCTGATCCACATGCATACACCTTTATTCTCACTGCAGATGCCCATGTCCTGCCCTGTCTAGACTACAAGTCTAGGGAGGCGGCGGGTGGCGCGGGGTGCGGGGAATTCTGTTTCTCTGCGCGCAGGTGAGGTTCCCTGGCCTGTGCAAATGGTGGTGCTCTCTCCCAGGTCTGACAAAGGACGACGAGATGGAGGTGGGGGTGCGGAATATCACTGGAGAACATTTATTCTTATTGAGGTGTGCCAGACAGACCCGAAACCTATCCCACAGAAGATTTTTTTTTTTTTTTTTTTTATCTTGCATGGACTGAGAGAATAGCCCAGCTGCTATCTCTGGCTCTCCTCCATTTCTCACTCCCATTCATAAAATTTTTAGAGAAGGCCCTGTGCTCCTTCCTCACAGAGCCGCTCCAATTGTGCCCCTGTCCGGAATGACCTTGGATTTAGTGGCAGGTGGCTAAAAAAGCCCTGAGCAGTCCATCAGTCCTGGCTACTCTGGCTCTCCCTACATAACCATCCCCACCGTGAATCAATCATATGCTGAGCCTCTCTAAAGCTCTAGCACCACGCAAGAAGCCAGGGGATCACAAAAGCTTACTAAACTTCTGGCACTGGTAGATTCAGCATTCACAGCATCCCAAGAGACTCGTGACCTATAGTAATTTGTCTTTGGCTGAGGCCCAAATTTGAACATTAAACACCATGACACCAGTGTTTGAGAGACAGTCACTTAGTAAATGAGCCTAGCTAGCCTATTTATTAATCCTAGGAACACTATATTATTATTATTATTATTATTTTCTTAATTTACCGCATGCAGGATATTATACAAATTTCTTCCATGTTAGCTCATTTCACAGTAATTGTAAAAACTTTATCCCCATTTTATAGATGAGAAAAATGAGATTCAAAAAGGTTAAGAAAGTTTCTCAAGACCATATAATCATTTAACGTAACTGAGCAAGACCACAGAGCTAGTTGGTGTGATTAAGAGTAACCGTGGAGCCCATCCTGGTCGAGTGGCTCCGGCGGTTGGAATGCCACCCTGTACGCCGAAAGTGATGCAGGCTCAGTCCTCGGCGGGGGCGCATGTGGGAGGTGACCAATCGACATTTCTCTCTCTCTCTCTCTCTCTCACACTGAGGATTTAAAAACAAAAACAAAAAACAAAAAAAGGAGAGAAATCACAAAGAAGTACGATTGGGTAGATCACAGATTTGACCCAATCTGTCGTACTCTAAATCTCAAGCACTGAGCCATAAGCCCATCAGAATTTTGTTACCATGTGAAAAATGGCCCTGGGTGCTAGAGATACCTTTAGTGGACATGGAAAAGACTGGGATGTGAGAATACACAAAGATACACTCAGCTCTGGATAGACATACATCTGGAAAAGACCAGGAACCTAAATTAAAACAACTCCACTCTTATGAATCAAAGAACTCTGAAAGATCTAGGGCACCAAGTGTTTTATACAAAAGAGAGAGAAACAGAGGTCTACATACAGCTATATATGGATATGGATATGGATATGGATATGGATATGGATATGGATATGGATATAGATAAGACATATTTTCTGCTCTTGAGACTATAACACCATTAGTGTACCATGAGAAAAGCAATTAGAAACTAAAGTATGCAGTAGTGAGAGTGTTTAGGAATGGAAGTGCATTGAAGCATTCAGAGAATGTGCCTGAAGGGAAAGTAAAACTTGAGTTAGGCCTCAGATACAAATTCAATTTAGATAGGTAGAAGGAAAAAGAAGAACTTTCAGACAGATGAAACAAACTAAAACTCAGAGGCATAAATAAGCATAACAGACTCAGGGAATTTTAACATAGATTGTAAACTCTGGGGGTCAGGGATTATGTCTTAGTTTGTTGTGCAGTTATCTCTCCAAAGACTAGCACATGGTAGGCACTGAGAAATCATTTCATGATGAAAGAAAAGGGAAAGGAAAAGAGGGAGGTGGAGAGAAGAGCAAGAGAGAGAACTCAGATGAGTAAATACAGAACAGAAAGTACAAATATCTGACCACAAAAGAAGGTGGGTGTTGGCAGTGAAGGGATATAAGCTTGGGAAGGCTGGGTGGAACAAAGGTAGGAAGGGTCTTGAACAAAGTGAGGGTGAAGAGGCTGATTTAAAGTAGTAGGCAAGATGTCACCAGATGGAGCTCCCATGGGTAGTTCTGAGCACTCAGAGAAGCTGTTAAGAGCCATGGAATATGAATCAGCCACATGAAGGTGAGACTGGAAAGGACACACACTAGAGACTGGCAGAGTCCTTGGGAAGCAGTGAGGCAGTCTGGACACAAGATGAAGAGTTTAACCTACGGGGATGACAGAAGGAATGAGTAGAAGAATGAAAAAGCGAAGGACCTGTTGAAGGGAAAAAATCTGAAGAATGTTTGTAACAGTTGAGATAATGGAGATAAAAGGGGAGAAATAAGTCAAAATTTCAAGTGCGGAGTCTGAAAGAGAAGTGGTAGCATGCTTAGAAAAAGGGAAGTTAATGTGGTTTAAGATGAAGAAAAGGAGATACTAAGATACAGCTTGCGATATATAACTTTAGAAAGCTCAAGTATACACCTAAATCTATAAATAATATTCTGCATGATGGAGACAATCCAAAAATTTGTTCATGGTTTCATACATGGGTATGTTGGTGGGGTCAACATATATGGTACAGTCATTAAGCAATTTTACTGAACTATAGAATTTCAGAATTAAAAGAAATATAAGACTGTCTAACATTCATACAGTATACAAGTTTGTTTCATGTAGTTTCTTTAAACTTTTATTTAATTATAATTGGCATATAATATTATACTGGTTATACTAGTTTCAGGCGTACAATATCATCTGTCACCATGCACACTTATCACCACCTTCTTGACCGCATTCCCCTTGCTTCTTTTCACCCGTCCTCCACCCCTTCCCGTCTGGTAACCATCACTTTGGTCTCTGTTTCTATGTCTCTTTTGGTTTGTTTGTTCCTTCACGGTTTTTTTTAGATTCCACATGTAAGTAAAACCATACAGTAGTTGTCTTTCTCTGACTGACTTATTTCACCCGGCACAAACCCTCCAAACCACCCATGTTGTCACAAATGGCAATATTTTATCTTATTGCTTGTATATTATTCCATTGCTTACCTGTGTGTATATATGTATATATATAGACAATAGATAAAGATGATGTGACATACATATCATATTAGACATATATATCACATCTTTTTTATCCATGTATCTATTGGTGGACATCTAGGTTGCTTCTGTATCTTTGTTATTGCAAATAATACTGCAATGAACGTAGGGGTCTATTTATCTTTTTGAATTAGTGTCCTTGGTTTTCTGTTTTGTTTTGTTTTATTTAGATAACTACCCAGAAGTGGATTTGCTGGATGTTATGTTATATCTATATTAGTTTTTTGAGGAATATTCATATTATTTTCCATAGGGGCTCTACCAATTTGCATTCCCACCAACAGTGCACAAAGGTTTCCTGTTCTCCAAATCCTCACCAACACAAGTTATCTGTCAACTTTTTGATAAAAGCTAGTCTGACAGGTGTGAGGTGGGATCTCATTGTAGTTTTGATTTTCATTTCCCTGATGATTAGTAAAGTTGAACATCTTTTCATATTGGCCATCTGTATGTCATTTTTTAATTGGGTGTTTGTTGTTGTTGTTGTTGTTATTGAGTTGTAGGAGTTTCTTATCTATTTAGGATATCAAGCCCTTATTGGATGTATCATTTGTGAATACATTTTCCCATTCAGGTAGGTTTTCTTTTTATTTTGTTAAAGTTTTCCTTCACTGTGCAGAAGATTTTTAGTCTGATGATGACCTATTTATTTATTTTTGTTTTTGTTTCCTTTGTTTGAGAAGATGTATCTAAAAAGATGTGATTTCTGTTATACAGAAATTTAATGAACAAAATAAACAAACAAAACAGAAACAGACTCATAGCTACAGAGAACAGACTGAAAAATGTGAGAGGAGAGGAAGGTTGGGGGCTGGGTGAAAAAGGTGAAGAGATTAAGCAAAAAACAACAACAACAACAACAACAACCTCACAGATACAGACAATAGTATGGTGATTAGCAGAAGGAAAGGGGATAGAGGCAGGTAGAAGGAGGTAAAGGGGGAATAAATGGTGACAAAAGGAGACTTGATTAGGGTGGTGAACACAAAATACAATATACAGATGATGTATTATAGAACTGTACGCCTGAAACCTATATAATTAACCAATGTTACCCCCAATAAATGCAATAAAAATTCTAAAAAAGAATAAAAAATAAAAAGATATTACTCAGACTTAGGTCAAATAGTTTACTTCCTACCTTTTCTTCTAGGAGTTCTATGGTTTCAGGCCTTACAACTTAAGTCTTTAACCCATTTTGAGTTTGTTTTTGTATATGGTACAAGAGAATGATTCAGTTTCTTTCTTTCTTTTTCTTTTTTTTTTTTTTTTTTTTTGCATATATCTGTCAAGTTTTCCCACTTGTTAAAGAGACTGATTACTCCATTGTATATTTTTGACCTCTTTTGCCTTAGATTAGTTGGCTATTTAAGCAAGGGTTTAATTTTGGATTCTATTCTGTTCCATTGGATTATGTGTCTCTTTTTGTGCCAGTGCCATAGTGTTTTGATTATTATAGCTTTGCAGTATAATTTGAGATCAGAGAGAAATACTTCCAACTTTTTTCTTTTTCTCAAGATTGCTTTCGCTATTTGGGGTCTTTTGGGGTCCCACATACATTTTAGGATTATTTGTTCTAGTTCTGAAAAGAATTACATTGGTATTTTGATAGGAATTGCATTGAATCTGTAGATTGCTTTGGGTAGTAGGTCATTTTAACAATATTAATCCCCCTATCCATGAACACAGTAATTTACATGTTTAGAACACAATACAATGCACAGTAGTGTCTGTCCACCAGCATCTATTTAAATAAACTCTAGTGGAAAATTCACTCCTCTTTCCATGATTGGATGGCTCTGTTTATTAAAAACATTTCCCTATACTTGCAGTCAAGATGGAGGCATAAGTAAACATGGCTCACCTCCTCACACAACCACAGCAAAAATTACAACTCATCTACAAAACAATTATCACCCAGAATCATCAGAAAATCAAGCCTTGTGGAAGTTTGATAGCCAAGGAATTAAAGTCACATTCCTCCAGACAGGTTGGGAGGAGGGAGATGCAGACATGCGCAGAGAAGTGCGGAGATGCTGAATGTGCAATCCCACACCCACATGTGTAGATAAAACTCAGGAGGGAT